TTACATGTCACCTGATTTATTTAGCAGTTTTCGAAAATTACAGAACCAATATCAAGCATTCCAAATTACATTACAGTTTTGTTGTGAACTGAACACAAAGCTATGCATTTCAGACCACTATATGCTTTCGTAACTATCCAAATCAGTTTACCCATCGTGAAGAGTTAGGGCAGATTTCATTTTATTAAAAAAATCTTTCCAATAATTATACATTGTCATCATGTAATATTGCATTTTAACTGAGTGACTTGTTTGGCACATGACATAGAATTCTACTCATGACAAGACTTATGTATATCTATTAACTGCTGCTAGGGGGCCAGCTATCACAACTGTCAATGTTCCAATCAAACCAAATACATTGCCATATTTCTCAATTTATCAAAACAATTTCTTATCTAATATAATATAATACATCTTTCGTTGTTTACAGATTCAAGCAAATGTCATCAGAACATTCACAGCACTGAAGTGTCACTTATGTGCTTATTTATGTTATTGCTGAGAATGAGGTATATTTGTTATACTTATAATTTCTTATCTATATGGAAAGATTGTACTGGGGAGGGAGGGATTGAATGACATTCATCGGTGATGAGGTAAAATTAAAACTACATTTGTTTTAATAATATTATTAAATAATTAAAATGCTACCTATGACGTAAACTATTTACTATTGTTACTAGTAAATTCCATATTACAGGTATTATATTATTGCATCATCGACACCAGTGAATAGAAAAAAACATACACTAGAGGGGAAAAAAATTATGTTAGATATTACCTGATTAAGTGGTTAAATTAGTAGTATATAAAGCGTTTATGCGTATGTATGTTCTTTTATGCCGCATTTACTTGGATAATGCAGCTACTGTGTTTAAAACTTAGTTACATTCTCCAGGCAAATTCAGCTTGGAAAGTTTTCAAGAGGCTTGTTCTGTTCTGAATCTTGAAATAATGATTAGTAAGTTTATGCGACTATTTGCATTTGGAGCCCGGACCACTGATTATTATGTAGACATGATATAACATATTACACGATAGAAATGCTTCAATGTTGTGTCACAGAGAAGCTACTCTATGGCAGTCAAACATGTGCACACAGTCATTTCTTATTTTACATAGCTCTTGTTCCCAAGTATGTGTTATACCATAGACATGGACAGACACACATTTTGTAATATAGACAATTGAAAATCTACATCAGGTCAGCAACATCGACAAATAAGTTAATTGAAGATGGTCTGATATTTGATCAACAATGAAGACGTCAATAGGTTTTCTATTATGCGGTGTTACTGTAGTGCTAAACACGTTTAGTACCAGGTTGAGTTGAAATAGTACCATGTTTTCTGGCACCAACTTTGCGGGCGAATCATTGCGTCATGAAAGATCTGTAGCTTATTACTGGTATTGTTTACCGCATTACGAGGTTGGAATACATCTGTCGGGTACTTCAACATCTGCCTGTGAAAAAGAGTTTTGGAATTCCGGATTGTAGCTTCCTTCCGCATACAGAACAGGGCTTGCCCTGGCTAATAGTGTTTTCCAAGACAATCAAAGTAGAATTAATTTTCCTTGACAGTTCAGGCTTTGACGAGGTCTTGTAGATGAAGGCATTCAACTGGGTTGTACATTTCAGAATACCCTTACTTTATTCTTAATGTTTATTTATGGATGAACTCTGGCTAGGGAATTTGTCATTTATTTTATGCCAAGGTCTTTGAGGCCTCTGATTGTTTTTTTTTCTAATTGATCGTAGAAGGCCTGAAGTGGAAGTCATTTTCTCGAACGTGTGTTTCCTCAAAGATATTGCATAGATGCTTTTATTATGGCTTGTTTACTACCACGAGCATTGTCACAAGTTTTGGGTAGTCTCCCAATGGCGTAACTCCCAATATATGTCAGTTTTTTTACTGTTAATTACAGAGGTGAAAACCTTCACTCCACTAATATTTCAACCATTGGACTAATTTTGATCGAGTTGCCAGTCTCTGGACATGGTGCTGCACGAAGTGTTTTCCTTTTGCTGAAATTAGGCAGTCGGTTTTCAACCGACCTATTCACATAGTTCATACCCACCATAGACTCGGGTCAGTCAAAATGACCTAGTTGAGGCCAGTGAAGAAACGGTGTCTTACTTTGCCAGTGCCGTCCCTGGAACAAAGCAAAATGCTGAACAGTGACAGGGTTTGGTATGCCCAAGAAAGCGAGACCCAAATTCTTGGGTAACCAGCTTTCAAAAGAAAAGGCCAAAACAGTTCTGCATGAGGGCATAGGTCGAAAGCGAGTTCCAAAGAGCGCTGACGAGAGAAACTTTTCCGTACAAATCTGTAGAGACTACTATATCTTTTATGTGCAGGGATCCCTGAGGTCATCCAAGCTGGGTCAGTAACCAAAGCCTGACCCGCTTCGATGAGACCCTCCCTAAAAATACCCTTCTTAATGGATTGGGTATCTTTTGAGTAGAAGTGGCAGTCATTTGGCGTTCTCCAGAAGCCTGCCCTTAGCACATGTTCGAGGGGTCATCTGATGCAAGAGCTAATGAGTTAGCAATCGCACAAACCTCATGTGCTCGTAGTTGATATCTCTGTAAACCCTGTGTCGAGGAAGCCAAATGGTTATAAACCTTGAACTTGGTCGCAGTGATCCACCTGAAAATGGAAGTCAGGAGGCTATTCTGTTCTGTTTACCCTGGACATAACACATAAACATGTGCTTGCTGCCATGCCTTGACTCTATAGTACGGCTCTCGTAGCAACTCAGGGCTCGAACTGGGCACCGAAGCAACTCCTCCTGATCCTGCGGGTCAACAATGTTGCCAGCCGGGGGATGATGATCGGTTGTAGATCACGTCCTGGGATTTGATTCTTGGCGAGGAACCATATTTGTGTCTTTAGCACTTTAGGGCGGTCTTCTTACAGCGCACAACACAACCCAATTGGGTGGCTCCCTCGTTTGGGTCTAGACCTCTGATTAAGCAGTAAACAGTCTCGTAATAGTAGGGCAACCTGCTAGCCTCGTCCCCAGAGAATTCTCAATGGGGTGACAAGGCTGACCTGTAGCCAACAATCGCTGAAATGACATGCCCATTTCGTCAAACAGATGGACCCAAATTGAGCTGCCTGGCCAACAGAGGGATGGCATGGATTTCCCTTCCACTACACCAATCAGTGTACGCTCTTTATTTTGAGGCACAGGCTGTGTTGGTGGGATCCCTGTTTGCCCTGTCCAGGACATAGGCAGCCCACTCAGAACAAGCCATGCATGGCACAGTCCTGTTAGTTATCGAATTTAAGATATATAGTTTTGTTTATAGTAATATAGCTGGAATATAAACATGTCAGGAATATGATTATGATGATTGTTTAACATTAAAATGATTGACATTTGTATCCGATCGTCAAAAGAGTACTTGTCCACATTGAGAGATATTGCTCTGGAACAGCATTAATAAAACAAAATCAGCTATTTTGAATACATGTATATAACATGATGTATAATGAATATATAGATTTTGAACAAAGCATTCATTAAATCAGCCATTTTGAATCCGATCTAAAAAATAAAATGACGTGCATCAGGAACTCGTAATGTCTAATGTATATTATAAGTTTGAACAAAATCCATCCATAAATGCCAGAAATGTTTGATATTTGATAATTTTGTTAGCACAAAAATGGCTACCATTCGGCCACTTTGAATAGGATCGTCAGAGAAACCAATATATCTGTATATATATGACATGATGTATAATGAATATTTAAAATTTGAACATAATCAGTCAAAGCAAGTCAGAGATATGGCACTAGAACCACATTCATTAAAACAAAATGAATCATTTTGAATCTTATCTGAAAAACAAAATGATGTGCATCAAGGTCCTATAATGTCCAAAGTATATACCAAGATTGAACAAATGAACAAATCCATCTGTAAACAGCCGAGAAATGCTTAATTTTGATGATTTTCAGTACAAAAATGGCCGATATTCGGCCATCTTAATGTTCATATGTATAATATCATGTATGATGTATGTATGAAGTTTGATTGTGATTGGTCCAAGCATTTCTAAGATAAAGGTCTGGACGCACGGAAGCACAGACGCACAAGGGTCAAAACATAAGTCCTTGTTTTCGGACTGCATCCAAACCGGGACTAAAAAGCCTGAGTGAGTCAACTGAGAGCCTTGATGCATGTAAGTGGTACTCCAAGGCAGTGCGCCATTCAGTTGGGACAGCAGATCCGGAAGTCTGGAAGCACCCCTAGTGTTTTGACTAACATTTCCAACAGTAGTGGAAACCAGACCTTGCCTGGCCCGTTGGGCACCACCCGCGTCAAAGTGCAGGTGCACTCTTGTCAAAGTTTTTCCAGTACCCTGTTAATAGTCCATGGGGGGTCGAGACAAAGCGTCCCTGGCCTAGGCTCCTGGAGTCGACAGCAGTGTCGCGTACGTCGGAAGCTTGGCATTCCAGAGTGTGGTGAATAGGTCTAACCCACCGCCAAAACAGTCTGGAGGCTACCCCATGGGGTATCTGCCACTCCATTCTGGAGACGGAACCGCCACGAGAGGGCATCCACTTAAAGGTGGTGGGTGTGTGGCTAGCTCCACATTGTATTTTAGGTATCAAAGAAGAATTTGCTCTGCTAGGACTGACAACGATGGGGGATCTGGTTCCCCCCTCCTTGTTGCTATAGGAAATCGCCACTGTGTTGTCCATGTGAAGCAAGACTGTTGTCTCGAACTATGGGTAGAAAGTGTATCAGTGTAAGTGCACTTCTTTCAGTTCGAGCCAGTTGATATGGCGGCCCTAAACCCAATGCAGGGGCCATATCCATTGGGCTTGCTCGTCCAATAAGTGAGCTCCCCAACCTGTGAGGGAGGCATCCATTACCAGAGTCATAGCCATGGCGAGTGGGTACAAGGGTACTCCCTGCCTGAGGTTGCGAATTGACGACCATCAGGACAAGGCATCCCTCACTTGGTCTGAGAGTGTTACTTGCCTCTCCAGTTCCTGTAAGTTAGCCCGGTGTTGAGACCAAGTGTGCTGCACCGGGCAACTGCGTAACGCGGCCTGGGGGAACTACCCTGCGAACCAAGGTCATCATTCCGATGATCTGCATCATTTCTTGGAGGGACACAGAGGGAACGCTGACTAGGCATTCGGCTAGGTCGCGTAGGCAATAGGCCTACAGTGACTGTACCAATCCCCCCTCCGTGTTGAACTCCATGCCCAGGAAGACCAACTGTCGTGTTGCAGATAATGGGACTTTGCTCGATTTACTAGGAAGCGCAACTGGTGTAAGTAAATCCTGTGTTAGCCTTACTGTTCCTCTAACCACTTCTTGTTCGAGTTGTGTAGCAACCAGTCATCTAGGTACGGATTGATGTGTACCGATGCCAGGCGTAGCAGTAGCACTAACTATTTCCACACTCTGGTGAATGCGTATGAGGCTATGCAAAACCTGAACGGGAGCATCATGTACTTGACTACTTGGCCCAACCGGGCGAATTGAGAGAGTCGAAACAGAGCACAGGAGAGTAATACTGTGCTCAGTGTCGCCAGGAAGCACATACTGATTTAGTCTGCTTAAGTCCAGAATGGGGTGCAGCCACCTGTAGTCTTTGGAACCGGCGCAACTTGCGAGTAGAAGCCACTTCTCTGTCCTGCATATAGCGCCCTTTGTAAGCAAACTCGTCTACCTCCTGTCAGATAACCTCCACTTTGCACGGATCCCCTGGTAGCGCCCCGAACAGGGGCTGATGGCAGGGGTTGAAGATTGCAGCAGGATCTTGTAATGGTGTATCACCACCTGGAGAGTCCAGGGATCGGTTACAATGAGACAGAGATGTGTGGGCTGTGAGACCCCGCAGGGCCTGTAAAAGTCGGTCACGTTCAACATATGCCAATCCCCCTCGTTGCAAGCGGAACCATCAAACTTGCTTCCCCTGCGAGCTGGATAGGCGGACCAAGAGGAAGAGGGGGCCGCCACCTGGTCCCTTCTTCCCTCTGGGTGTGTCACCACTCTTCCTTCCCCCAGAAGAGCTGGGATGCTTGCCTCCTGGCTACTTTTGGCCAGTGGGTGTAGACTTTGGTCATTACATTTTTTCAGCTTGGGGTCCTTTCCGCTTGCCGTTAGCAGAAGCCAAACTGGCTTGCAGGTCTCACCTGTACTAACTGGTCAGTGGAATCCCGCAGCACCAAGACTGCTCCTTCCACCCCCAAAGGAAAGAGGGTGGGGCAGGCCCAGCCTGCATAATTGAGCTGGTGGTGTACCCAGTGAAAACAGTCAAAACCGCATCCCACTGTACAGAGGCAGCCCCTGCCACGAGTGCAAGACATCCCGCATAGCAGTGTGGTGTCCCACCAATGGCTGTGTCTGCTGGTCTAGGAGGCTAGTGCATTCTGCCTTTGAGACTTCAGGGCTGGCGACACAAAGCAATGCATACCAGTGGGCTGGCCACAATTTGAAGGGTGGAGGGTCGCCACAACTCGAAAGGTGGAGGGTCGTCACTCTACTCTCAATGCGTGGATTGTTTCCGACTGAACTGTTGAAATATTTCATGAACGCCTGTCCCACCAAACCAAAATCAAAGAAAGCTTA